TCTGACTGTAAGTTAAATCCCGACGCTATATCATTATATGATAAACAAAGCTTAACATCATCAGCATACATTAGAACACGAGAATGTGGTATGATAGAGGGAAGATCGTTGATAAACAAAGTAAACAGCAAAAGGCCCAGATGACTTCCCTGGGGGACTCCAGATGTCACGTAGATCAAATTTGAAGTAGAATTCTTGAATATAACCCTCTGAGTCCTACCATTCAAGTAACTTGAAATCCAAGTTTATAGATTACCAGGAAACACAAGCAGATCTAATTTAAATAAAAGAAGACAGTGGTTGACGGAGTCAAAGGCCTTACTAAAATCTGTATATAAAACGTAAGTCTGCATTTTTTTCTGAAATCCATTTATTACAATAGATGACAATTCAAGAAGGTTTGTGGTGGTCGATCTTCGCTTAACAAAACCATGCTGACACGGTGATATAAGCGAGGAACATTAATGTTGCAAATGAGAAGTGATAATACGTTCAAATGCTTTAGGAATTGCCGACAATTTGGAAATACTTCTATAATTCTTGGCATCAGCCTTCGCACCCTTTTTATGAAGTGGAATAATAAAAGAGTCCTTCCAGATAGTAGGAAAAACTGATGATGAAATAGACAAATTAAAAAGTTTAAGAATCGGTTTACACATGGTTGACGCACAAAACTTGAGCACACATCCAGGAAGTCCATCTGGACCGGGAGAATAAGTCGGCGTTGTTGTTTCTAAATCTATTAAGATAGAGTTTTCAGTAATTAAAGGGGTAAAAATACAATTTGCCATATTTAAGGGATTAGGGTAGTTAGATTTTGACCAAGCTGTCGAACTATAAGTGGTTTGGAAAAACTAAGCAAATAAATCAGCAATGTCGGAATCCGTCGATGCCTCCGTTGAGTTTAGACGTACCGATGAAGGCAATGCCGATGACTTACGCTTGGCATTATCATTTGAAAATTCAAATTTACATCGATTTAGATACATAGAATAGCAATGACTGTTGAGAACATTAAAATCCGATCGAGCCACTACATATATATATATACTTTTTATACCCGTTACTCGTAGAGTAAAAGGGTATATTGTATTCGTGCAAAAGTATGTAACAGCTGGAAGGAAGCGTTTCCGACCCTATAAAGTATATATATTCTTGATCAGGGTCACTAGCCGAGTCGATATAGCCATGTCCGTCTGTCTGTCTGTCCGTCTGTCCGTCCGTATGAACGCTGAGATCTCGGAAACTATAAAAGCTAGAAGATTGGCATTTTGCATGCAGATTCTAGAAGTTCCTACGCAGCGCAAGTTTGTTTCAAAAAGGTGCCACGCCCCCTTTAACGCCCACAATCGCTTATATACGATTTTAAAAATTTAAATATTTCGGAAAAGTAAAAATGCAGTTTTATTGTGTTTATCAATACCTATCGAAATGTAGAAGAAATTTTTCAAATCGGACCATTAGTTAAAAAGTTATGCGTGATCAAAGTTTCTATCTCCATCTCCCTCGCACTCCCTTTACCTGAGTAACGGGTATCTGATAGTCGGGGCACCCCACTATAGCGTTCTCTCTTGTTAGTATTTGATTTAAGGTTTTTTCTTTGAAGCGCATTGGTACACCAAGGAGGCCTGTTTAGGTTTAAAGGAAACCTATCAGGAACGCATTCATTAAAAAATGTATTTAACGCTATATGGAATAGTTCAGTGGCACTTTCAATGTCTGTACAATTGTACAAGTCTGTCCAATTATAATGAGAAATCATAATTTTTAAGTATTGGCGCATTGCATAAGTTTGTGTTTGAAAAAGAAGGTAATCGCAAACATCTACACGAATTTCAAGGTTTTCGGTACAATGAAAATGACGTAGTTTATAAGGCAAAATGTGTATTCATAGATACAAAACTGAGTGAGAGAGACCTCATATGTACAGTTTTGGGTATAAACTACGACTACGATTTTTCGCAATTTACAGTTTGGCCAACCTCTCGCCGCTAGCAAAGTGGAAGATTCAGAGAGTGTGGAATCTGATCAAGAGAAGGAAGACGAAGAAGGCATTCAGAGTGATGATGAAATTGAGAGCGTATTTGCAACAACCGGGCATTCAAATCCAAAGAAAGAAAGATCGCAAGAGACTATTTCGCAACGAAATAAAGAATCCGACGTGATGCCACGATTTGCTCTTAGTTTTCGCCATATAGAGGAGTCTATTAAAAAATTAGCTGGAAGTGATGAAATTCCAATTGAGGGGTCGATCACCGATTTTGAAGAGTAAGCTTTATTGAGGGGTTGGAACGCATTTCAGAAACTAATTTTTTCCAAACAAGAAAGGAAAGCTAACTTCGGGCGGAGCCGAAGTTGATATACCCTTGCAGAATACTCTGTAAATTATATTCTCCAAAATTATTCATATAATGCATTCTTAATACTCATAAAAAATCCCAACTTCCTAACTTTACAAACATTTTTTTTTTTTTTTTTTTTTTTTTTTTTTTAAAATTTTATTTTATTTTTTTTTTTTTTTTTTTTTTTTTTTAAAATTATTTTTTTTTTATTAATTTATAATTTTTATTTAATTTTTTTTTTTTTTTTTTTTTTGTTTTTTTTTTTTTTTTGTTATAATTTTTTTTGGTTTTTTTTGTTTTTTTTTTTTTTTATAAAAAATTTTTAATTTTTTAAAAAATTTTTTTTTTTTTAATTTTAAAATTTTTTTGGCTTTTAGTTCTTTTATTTTTTTTTATTTTGTTTAAAGGGAAGGTGGGGGTGTGTTGGTTTTATTTTTCAAATTTTTTAAAAGGAAGGGGGGGGGTGGGGGAGGGGTGAAAAAGGGGGTTATAGAAATAAAGGAAAAGGGGGAAGAAAAGGAGAAAGAAAGAGAGAGAGGAAGGAAGGGAGGGAGGAAAGAAGGGAAGAAGGAAAGAGGGTTTTTTTTTTATTTTTTTGGGTTTTTTTTTTTTTTAAATTTTTTTTTTTTTTTTGGGTTGGGGGGTTTTTTTTTCTTTTTTTTTTTTTTTTTTTTTAAAATTTTTTATTCTCTTGGGGGGGGAAAAAAACTTTAAAGGGGTGTTAAGTTTTTTTTGTTAAGAGAAAAAGGATTAAACTCGTGCAGTGCGTTAAAAGAGTCTTTGTTAGGTGAGTTCAGGTCAAAAGTAAGCAACAAGCAAATACATATACAACTTGGAAATTGCAAACGAAGCGCGAACGAAAATGTACATGAATATTTTTACCGGATAAAAGATATTGCATCATCGAAAATATTCAAGTTACGATTTAGAGGTGCTGGCGATTGTCGAAGCCAGAACAAAGTTCCGAGTTTATCTCCTTAGAATTCCATTTAAGATAATCACTGATTGTAACGCATTCACGAAGACGCTAGACAAGCAAGACCTGTGTACTAGAGTTGCACGTTGGGTACTGTTGCTGTAAGAGTACGACAATCATGACAATCATCGACGACTCTATAGCCCTTTGCTTTAAGCAAGCCCAGAAAAAATATGAACCTAAAGTAGATCTTTAAAATTATAAAAGATTCAAACTTACCTTATGAAGAGTATTTCCTGAAGGCTGCTATCGTGTACAAACTTGCAAAGGACTTGGAATTGATTGTAGTTTCTAAGGACATGCAGAAACAGATCATTGCCAGAGCACATAACCGTGGTCATTTTGCTGTTAAGAAAACAAAGGAGCTGATTTGCAACCAGTATTTTATTGAAAACATCGACAAAAAAATTCAGAAATATATGTCCAAAAAGTTGGCAGATGGACCAAAGATTTCTTCAACTTGTGCAGAATTTCTAAAGCCTTGGCCTACACAAGAAGACAGCGACGAAACATTCGAGGCGAATGTTTAATCAAGTATGGCCGAATATGGAAGTGATTTCGTACGAGTCTCCCAAATAACGCATCATACTAACCATACGCCCCCATACTGCCTATATTTTGAGTTGGGTAAGGATTTTGAAAACTTTCGAAGTAATTTGCGCTCTCCTTTCGATGAAGATTCCGCAGTATTAAACGGTTTTACTTGTTATTGTAGTATTCTTAAAATGGAAAATATAAGATTAAAAGTTTGTGGTTAATATGTATTCTTTGACTTTAGGAAACTGTTATAATTTTTTCAGAAAGGGCACAAAGATTATATAGCATTTTATACGGGAATATAACGTTCTTTATTTTTTATATATTTAATATTCTTAAATTAATACAAATTTTTTGAAAATAACTTACACCAACGAGAGATCGGAAAAATTCCTGAAATTTTGTGTAATACGCATCCGAATTATTTATAATAAAATTAATAATAAATATATAATACGACTGGAAATTATATTTATTTATTTTCCTTTTTTTTCAAATTAAATATAAATTACAACTATGACTGCCCACATACATAATAATTTTATTTTAAATATTAGTTTCTGGCTAATAAGATAACAAATGTAGATAAAAAATACTTTTTTAATTAAAAGTATTTCTTATTTCATAGGGTGATTCCTAAAAACAAGTTTATCGTTGCTTTAAAATTATTCGCGCTTGATTTCGTTAATGTTCTGCTGTTATTTACACAGGGTAAGGCTAGCCATGTAGCGTGCTACATTTTATTTAAGAATTTCCAAACGAAATCAGCATAGAAAATGTTTATTTTAACAAAAAAAGATTAAATTGATTAAACAGTTTAGGAAACCCCTCTAATGTTTAATCGTACTCTGACGCAAATATATATTATAAATAGAGTTTAATTAGCTCATTATTTTATAAATAGATAGATTAATTAGATTTAAATAATAGATAGTAATTTTAAATTTGGCCTGTATAGTTTTTGCAAAATATTGAGTTCATATCTTATTTTTATATTTGTTTTTTTCATCTTGTGACCTTAATAATTTTTTCTATTTAAATTAATACAAATTTTTTTTTAATAAAAAATGTAATAGTTCAATCACAAATTTTTTTGCTTTTTTTTTTTTAGAACAAAGAGCCCATTTCCAAACTACGCGGTAAGCTAAGCAATAATTATGTTGTTTATTAGAATTAGCAGGGCAAAATTTACACAAAACTTCCAGAACACGACAAAAAATAATGATAGGGTTTGAATTAATTTTTTATAATTCTGGCCAATAATTATATATTCTGCGGTTTACCTAAGCCAACATATCATTTTATTTTGTTATGAGAACAATATGTTTATGAGAAAACGACCCTTTAGTATGCATACAATTCAGTTAAAGCTCTTACTAAATACTCAATTTCTTTAAAGAGCTCTTTCTGGTTGTCGTTCTGTAAATTTTAAAGTTTCATCAAAAATCAATGACTTCAAAGCATCTCGAGAAATGTCATCATTTTCCATATTTATCCGGAACGGCACTTCGGCGACAGGCTATGTAAAAAACAAAACAATAACGTTACATTACAATAAAATAAATTATGTAGTTCAATATTCCAGCACTGAAAAATTTTATGTTTAACAAGAAAGGAAGCAAACTTCGGTAAGCCGAAGTTAATACACATTTGCAGTTATTACAAATCGACTACATTTCGATTTCTATGCCTATATTACGAAAAAACAATGAAGCTATGTCGATTTCGCGCTGCATTTTGCCATCGTTTCTATGGCAGCTATAGAATTTTTTTCAGATTGTATCTATGGGAGCTATATGATGTAGTCGCCCGATCCGGCTCGATCCGACTTATATACTACCTGCAATAGAAAGACAACTTTTTGGAGTTTGAGAAAAAAATCCTTCAAGCAATCAAGAAAAAATTTAAAGAAGTGGAGGCCTAACCAACCCAGTGCCACACATTTATGAAACAGCTATCGCTTGTGACTATCCGCGCTTAGCTGACCTGACCTATAAAAAAGATCGGAAAAATTGCTTAAAGAGGGCTTTATTAGAACGACGTCCCCAGTGGGCCCAAAGCCAGAGTGATTATGACTTTCAAGGTTGACTCTGTATCCTGTCCTCAACCCAGCCGATCAAGTCTTTCCTGTGAAGCTGGAGGCATCCAATGGTCACACTAACTCGCCTGTCCTGTCCCTTGCTCTTAGTATGACTGGATGGTACCAGATATTTGATAATTATGTTAATCAGTGTTCCACCTTTATTTCATGTATTTGTGCAAGAAGGTAATGTTTTGAATAAATGGGACGGTTATATGTTGTATTTTTAACATGTTTAATACTATTTGTAAATTTCAAAGGATTCCCTCCCAAATAGTCCATTATTAATTGGTTTTTAAAGGAGATCGATTTATGGCCATGTCTTAATCAGCATCACCAGGATTCGATGTGGCCATGTCCGTCTGTCCGTCCGTCTGTCCGTCCGTCCGTTTCTACGCAAACTAGTCCCTCAGTTTTAAAGCTATCTGCTTGAAACGTTCCCAAAAGTTGTCTTTCTATTTCAGGTAGTATATAAGTCGGAACGAGCCAAATCGGGCGACTATATCATATAGCTCCCATAGGAAGAAACGAAAATTTTTTTTTTAATTTTAACTTTGATGTTTTTAATTTTTTTTTTTGTTCTTTGGGATTTGGTTATTTTAATATTATGGAATTACGGTTTAAACTAAATTAAAATCGGACAACAATATCAAAGGGCTGCCATAGAAACAGTGCAGCGCAAAGCTTCATTGTTTTTAGTAATAGAGGCATAGAAATCGAAATGTAGTCAATTTGTAATAACTGTAAGGGTATATAAACTTCGGCTAGTCGAACTTTGGTTTCTTTCTTGTTTTAATCGACTTTTTTACCTCGCGCACTAGGTGAGATAGCCTGGATAACTTAAATGGGTCACAGCTAATCTCTATTCCACAGAGCTGTTAGCGGGGAACTATCAAATTGATAAACATTCATTATAGCCCAATTAGAGTAACTCTACTCTTGTGTTAAACACATGTTACGGACTAACGACATTTGCCAACCCCTTACCATATAAGCCAGGACAAAATAATCTTAGCCTGGTTGGCGACCAATAATTCCAAAAAAATTGTATTGAAAGTTCATTTTTATTATTAATTTTTATACTATCTATTGAAATATCGTAAGTTATCTTTAAAGCCTAGTACTCAGATCGACAAATGAGTACGCTAGCGTAAAAACTTTAATCTTTCCAGTGTTACCAAAATTTCGAGAGTTCATCAGAATTATGCGTGCTCCGGTCGTACTGTCAATCAGCTGGGTTTGTTGACAAGCAGTTAAAATTAATATGCGGAAAAGAGCCTTTAAAAAATATTATCAAGGTAGTTGGCAAGACAAGTCTGCCGCTGTACAAAGAAAGTAAAAAACAATACAATTTAAATTTAACAATTGTTTTTTTTTAATTTACTGATAATTATTTGCTAATTTAAAGTTCTTAGGCACCCCAAATGGTATTAATGTTATTTTGTCCTCACATGTAAACTCCTGCAATCTACTTTTGCGGGTTTTTGGATTTTTTCCCTCCATTTTATAAAATGTTCACCCAAAGGGTTCACCCAAAGTTCATTTCAGCAGACTGGCAGCGCTATGACATTTTCTGGTATTTTTTTCGTCGATCTGAGTACCGAGGTGAAAAAAAGGCATGAAGTGAACGCCAGCTGTTTGCAGTCTCTTTGCAACCAGCGCTTGTGTAGCGCGTATTACAGAATAATTCTACTACTCGATCACTCGTCTGATTAACAACAGGTTATGATCCCAGAACGCTTAAACTGCGCGTACGGTAAAAGTAGTAAAAATAATGTGGATAATTTGTGAAACACCAAATTGATTGAGAAAAACGGAACTTGCAAATTTATTTCACAATAATTCGCAACGACAAAGAATAGAAAGAGGCAATGAGGAAAAAGACGCCACAAATAAAAAAATGAATTTCGCGAACATTAAAATAGATCCCCTCGGAGGGGAAAATTATGATACATGGAAAATACAAATTCAAGCTCTTTTAATTAAAAACGATGTGTGGAAATACGTAAGTGATCAGTTTAGTAGGCCAACAGATTCCCAAAAAAAGCCTTGGAGTGGTACATAAATTAGGCTAAAGCGAAATCGGATTTAATTCTATCCATTTCCACATCTGAGTTGAGGCAGGTAAAGAACTGCGAAACATCGAAACAGTTATGGGAAAAACTAGAAAGCATATACCAATCAAAAGCTCCAGCGCGTAAGGCACATTTGCTGAAATCGTCACTTGCAAAAGTTTTTTGACAATCTTGACAAAATTCGTGAAATGGACATGCAAGTAATGGATGATCTCGTGACTATCCTGCTGCTTCCCTGAGGAGTACGAACAGTTTAGAGTCGCCATTGAAACACAGGAAATATTACCTGAGCCAGTAGTGCAAGAAACCAAAATGATGGAACAATACGAAGCGGGTAAAAGGAACAACATTGAACCGGTACACGACGCCATGTTTACGCGGAAAAATTATAATTTCGCTACAAATGCAAATACACGGTTTTAATTCAAGTGTTTCAACTAATAATAGGGCACAAGGCCAAAGATTAGGAGGTAATCAGAAAGAGAGCGAGTGCAACGGCGAACCGAAAAGCAACAGTGCGGTCGCCATGCAAGTGTTTGCAGACAAAGGACAGTGGTGTCTCGATTCTGGTGCAACATCACACATGTGCTTTCAAAAGGAGAAATTCGAAAACATGAAGAGTGAATCGCTAAACTTAAAATTAGCAAACGATGAATCCGCTCCAGTTGTTGGCAGTGGAAAAGTACTCCTAGAAACTTCGATCGTGACGGCTAGCAGTGAGTACCGTAAGCAAGGACAGTGATCTACAGAAATAGCATGAAGTATTGGGACACATAAACGAAGTTGACTTAAAAAGTATGATTCGAAACGAAAAAGTGATTCGCATAAAATCGAATCTTAACGAGAACATGAAAAACTTGGAAATTTGCATTCAGGGGAAGCGATCAAAAAATCCATTCACGAAGTCGGACTCAAAATCTAGTGATCTACTAGAGTTAGTACATTCCGACGTTTGTGGACCAATGCGGGTCAAGTCGCACGGAAGTTCCAGATATTTCGTAACATTCATCGACGATAAAACCAGGTGGTGCGAAATATATTTTCTAAAACAGAAAAGAGAAGTCAAGGAAAAGTTTAAAGAGTACATGCACCTCGTCGAAAATTAAACTGGCAGAAAAATAAAATAAAAAAAAAAAAAAGAAATAAAAAAAAATAAAAAAAAAAAAAAAAATACAATAAAAATAACGAGTTTTCAATTTTCTCAAAGAAAAAGGGCATTAAGATAAACTACGAAAAACTTTACGACGAAAATGGAGTTGCCGAACGAAAAACCGAACCTTAGTTGAGATGGGCAGAATCTATTCTAACTTCCAACCACGTCAGAAACAGAGTCCCATCCCGGAGCCTAAATGGCTCCGTACAACTTGTGGACTAGAAAGAAACCAATAATCACACATCTAAAAGTATTTGGAACCGTAGCATATATGTTAAACAAGCAACCAGGAAAAAGAAAAAGTAACAATTTTCCACCCAAAAAGCAAGAAATGTATATTTATAGGGTACGAGCCGCAAACAAAAGCATATCGACTTTCGTGTCCAGCTGAAAGGAAGACCTACAAAAGCCGAGATGAAAGGTTCGTTGACCAATTTAAAGAAGAAAACCAGTATGAGGATTTTGTAAGCCAAGAATGTGTTGAAAAGCAAAAAATTGAAATTAATCTCTTACAAGTTCCACCTACAGCAGAACCAGAATCTTCGCCCAAATTTTAAGACGAACCAGAAGTCAGAGAAATGGCAGTGCCCAGACCGGAAACTCCCGCAGCTCGCACACAGCTATAAGCACTAGTCACAACCCCAAAGAGAGGACGAGGTCGACCCTGAAAACGGCAAATAAACTATAGATAAGAGTGCTCCAGAAGATGTCCTAGAAGGAAACAGCGCATTTCTCAGTAAGCAAAGCGATCCAAAGGATGCAACAGAGGCGCTCTTTTGTCCGGATAGTGAGGAATTGAAGGCAGGCATGCTTCAAGAATACCATGCTTTGGACAAGAACGAGACGTGGACTCTGGTAGATCGACCTAAAAACGCGGAAATCATCAAAACGAAGTGGGTTCTGCGAACAAAACGACACGCAAATGGTCAAATCGAAAGGCGAAAGGCAAGACTTGTCGCCAAGGGATTTGCGCAGTCACCCGGTGTAAGCTATGGCGAAACTTTCGCGCCCGTGGCACGTATGAGCTCCATTCGAATGCTCATGGCCCTATCAGTTGAGCTCGAAATGCAAATCTAACAGTTGGACTTGATCAGCGCATACCTCAACGGCGAAACAACCGAAGATGTTTACGTAGAAATACCAAAAGAGTTTGAAGCGATCCTATGTAACGACGACCTAAAAAAGTATGCTGTATGGGCTCAAACAGTCTGGAAGGCAATGGTATCGAAAGCTTGACGAAAAGCTACAGAGCTTGGGGCTACAGCCGCTAAGTTCTGATCCTTGTGTGTACGTCATAAATAAAAACGACATGCTCGTTATCGTATTAATTTACGTAGATGACTTAATGGTGGCATCGAATGACGAGAGGGCACTTACAGCATTGAAATCAGAACTGGCAGGAATGTTCGATATGAAGGATATGGGACTGCTGAAGTATTGCCTTGGAATCGAGTTCGAACAGAACCTTGAGACGCACGAAATCAAAATGCATCAGCAGTGTTATGCAAATTAGGTCATTAAACGGTTTGGCGTGGAAAACACCAATGCAGTGACAACGCCATTGGCGGCAAATGAGAAATTATCAAGATAATGACCCTAAGCGTAAGACGAATACGGAGATTATGTGGTAACTATACAATTGCGGAAAAGTGCTGGACACACCAGCCAGAGTCCAGACTTAAGCCCAATCGAAAATATTGGGCATATTTGAAGAAGAAAGTGGCAAAACGAAGCCCCAAAAACAAAAATGGTAATCAGAAAGAGAGCGAGTGCAACGGCGAACCGAAAAGCAACAGTGCGGTCGCCATGCAAGTGTTTGCAGACAAAGGACAGTGGTGTCTCGATTCTGGTGCAACATCACACATGTGCTTTCAAAAGGAGAAATTCGAAAACATGAAGAGTGAATCGCTAAACTTAAAATTAGCAAACGATGAATCCGCTCCAGTTGTTGGCAGTGGAAAAGTACTCCTAGAAACTTCGATCGTGACGGCTAGCAGTGAGTACCGTAAGCAAGGACAGTGATCTACAGAAATAGCATGAAGTATTGGGACACATAAACGAAGTTGACTTAAAAAGTATGATTCGAAACGAAAAAGTGATTCGCATAAAATCGAGTCTTAACGAGAACATGAAAAACTTGGAAATTTGCATTCAGGGGAAGCATTAAAAAAATCCATTCACGAAGTCGGACTCAAAATCTAGTGATCTACTAGAGTTAGTACATTCCGACGTTTGTGGACGGAAGTTCCAGATATTTCGTAACATTCATCGACGATAAAACCAGGTGGTGCGAAATATATTTTCTAAAACAGAAAAGAGAAGTCAAGGAAAAGTTTAAAGAGTACATGCACCTCGTCGAAAATTAAACTGGCAGAAAAATAAAATAAAAAAAAGAAATAAAAAAAGAAATAAAAAAAAGAAAAAAAAATAAAATAAAGAATACATAAATAACGAGTTTTCAATTTTTCTCAAAGAAAAAGGGCATTAAGCATAAACTTACGGAACAAAATGGAGTTGCCGAACGGAAAAACCGAACCTTAGTTGAGATGGGCAGAATCTATTCTAACTTCCAACCACGTCAGAAACAGAGTCCCATCCCGGAGCCTAAATGGCTCCGTACAACTTGTGGACTAGAAAGAAACCAATAATCACACATCTAAAAGTATTTGGAACCGTAGCATATATGTTAAACAAGCAACCAGGAAGAAGTAAATTTCACCCAAAAAGCAAGAAATGTATATTTATAGGGTACGAGCCGCAAACAAAAGCATATCGACTTTCGTGTCCAGCTGAAAGGAAGACCTACAAAAGCCGAGATGAAAGGTTCGTTGACCAATTTAAAGAAGAAAACCAGTATGAGGATTTTGTAAGCCAAGAATGTGTTGAAAAGCAAAAAATTGAAATTAATCTCTTACAAGTTCCACCTACAGCAGAACCAGAATCTTCGCCCAAATTTTAAGACGAACCAGAAGTCAGAGAAATGGCAGTGCCCAGACCGGAAACTCCCGCAGCTCGCACACAGCTATAAGCACTAGTCACAACCCCAAAGAGAGGACGAGGTCGACCCTGAAAACGGCAAATAAACTATAGATAAGAGTGCTCCAGAAGATGTCCTAGAAGGAAACAGCGCATTTCTCAGTAAGCAAAGCGATCCAAAGGATGCAACAGAGGCGCTCTTTTGCCCGGATAGTGAGGAATTGAAGGCAGGCATGCTTCAAGAATACCATGCTTTGGACAAGAACGAGACGTGGACTCTGGTAGATCGACCTAAAAACGCGGAAATCATCAAAACGAAGTGGGTTCTGCGAACAAAACGACACGCAAATGGTCAAATCGAAAGGCGAAAGGCAAGACTTGTCGCCAAGGGATTTGCGCAGTCACCCGGTGTAAGCTATGGCGAAACTTTCGCGCCCGTGGCACGTATGAGCTCCATTCGAATGCTCATGGCCCTATCAGTTGAGCTCGAAATGCAAATCTAACAGTTGGACTTGATCAGCGCATACCTCAACGGCGAAACAACCGAAGATGTTTACGTAGAAATACCAAAAGAGTTTGAAGCGATCCTATGTAACGACGACCTAAAAAAGTATGCTGTATGGGCTCAAACAGTCTGGAAGGCAATGGTATCGAAAGCTTGACGAAAAGCTACAGAGCTTGGGGCTACAGCCGCTAAGTTCTGATCCTTGTGTGTACGTCATAAATAAAAAGGACATGCTCGTTATCGTATTAATTTACGTAGATGACTTAATGGTGGCATCGAATGACGAGAGGGCACTTACAGCATTGAAATCAGAACTGGCAGGAATGTTCGATATGAAGGATATGGGACTGCTGAAGTATTGCCTTGGAATCGAGTTTAAACGGTTAGGCGTGGAAAACACCAATACAGTGACAACGCCATTGGCGGCAAATTAGAAATTATCAAGATAATGACCCTAAGCGTAAGACGAATACGGAGATTATGTGGTAACTATACAATTGCGGAAAAGTGCTGGACACACCAGCCAGAGTCCAGACTTAAGCCCAATCGAAAATATTGGGCATATTTGAAGAAGAAAGTGGCAAAACGAAGCCCCAAAAACAAAAATGATCTCAAAACTGTCATACTGGAAGAAAACTGTCATCCGGAGAAATTGGACATGGAAAAACTCATATATTCGATGAAATCGCGAATGGAGGACGTTTGCGCTGCCAAAGGTGACCATACAAAATATTAACATGTTACTCTTTAGAAAATAAGAACACACTCAATTTTTGTCAAAACACTTTCTTGACAGTATAAAAACTGAATGTTATTTGTTTTTATTTATTTTTAAGAAAGTTAACTAAAGAAATTTGTTTTTTTTTTCATTGATTTTCTCTAAAAAATTTTAAATTTTTTTAAAAAATGAAAAAAACACTGCTCACTTACTTTTTATAATATAATAATAAAAACATGAAATATGTAATTTTTTCCCATTGTCAAAACACTTTATTGACATACTGTATATATATATATATATATATATATATGTCCACACAACTCCGCTCCACCGTTAAGGTCTCCATCTTGTGGGAAAATATTTATATTTATATATCTACTTTGATCTCCAGACAAAAAATTAAATAAAATCACACATATCCATACACATACACACATATACACACAGCTAAGTAATTCCAAAGTTTTTTTTTCTACTAGCAATATATATATATATATATTTTTTGTTCCACACAACCCCGCTCCACCGTTAAGGTCTCTATTTTGTGGGAAAATATTTATATTTATATATCTCCTTTGATCTCCACAACACTAGTGGCACATTCCGTGGAACTCCAAAAAATTAAATAAAATCACACAAACCCATACGAATGCACACTGTAACGACCCTGTTTTGGGAGACGGTATAGCTCGCCGTGGTTAGGGTTCGTGACAGATATTTATATTTTCCTCTATAGATCGATTTACCTCCCTTTCCCCAAATAATGACACAGAGGGAAAGAACTATAAAGGAGACGTGTATTTCGAAGTAATCGTACAATATACGTTGGTCGTGTGGTTGTGTATATTTGAGTCGGGCCTGCTTGCTTTGTCGATTCGGCGCTTTGGAAGGGCCGAGTGATAAACTGCTTGTTTTCGTGACCCGGCACTACGGAAGGGCCGAGTGATAAACTGCTTGTTGTCGTGACCCGGCGCTACGGAAGGGCCGAGTGATGAACTGCTTGCTGCGAGCGTCGGCGCTGCGGAAGGGCCGAAAAGTCGCATCAGCGCTGCGGAAGGGCCGAGAAGTGGACTGCTTCGTCGTGCGTATGTCGGGTTCGTAGTGTTGTGGGTCGTTGGGAGAGATCTACTTGGATTTCTACTGGGATTCGGGAATGTAGGGCATCGTTAGCTTCGGTCTGCCGGGCATCGTTAGGTTCGAACTGCCGTTCTACACATCCGTTTCTTTTCCGGGTCGGGAGCCGGAAACGTGAAGTCTGGGGGAACTCACTGAGATGGGCCTGTATTATTATTATTCAGTGATCACGACTGGGTCTGGGCTGATTTCTAGGAAACCACACCGGGACTGGTGATCCTCACCAGGGCGCAGAGCCGATTTAAAAACCGAGTTCTTACGGATCCACCACCAATACCAGAACACTGACCCGGATATTTCTCTTGGTTGCGGATGTTTCCTCGATGATCGTCGGCACGCAAGTGACTCATCTGGGGTCTTGCCTCTGCTTATATAGGGCCCGTTGAGTGTGCCCAAAGCGGTCGATGTCGAGAATCCCGATATCGATAACTCGTTATCGGGTCACGAATATAGCAATGGTAGTCGACTATCGATATATTAGTGTGGCCAGTTTATCGTTTTGGGCGCGCGTTTTGAATGTGCGCGATTTTGGCGCGTGTTTTGAATGTGGTGTGGCGTAGGGAGAATAAAAGATAATTGGAATGTTCTTTTATTATTAGTGGCGCTGGGTCGTCAAAACACATATATACACAGAATCCATACACCGTGCAAAGACCCATTTTTTCACATTGGTCTTTAAACTAAAACACTTTGCAGCATCCAAAATCCAGTTGTACCAGCATTCTTTTAAACTAAAACACACAAAACAATAACAAACCCGGCTTACGAACACTGCTGCAGAACCACCTGCCAAGTACTAGTCGGACCGGCGAATCTAAGGGTGGCGGCAACCGCTTTTTTTGTTTCCTTTTTTCCGCGGCATCCCGAATAAAAAACACAAGTCAATAATTATCTAGCTGATATTTCAGTAGGTTTTTTAATTATTGGATGGTTGTTTTTCTCTTATTTACATTGCATATTGGTGTGTGAGCCGTCACACAGGATGTTCCGGGCATTCCGTACTGCAACTCATCGCATAATAGGCCGTTCACACTGTATTGCATTTGGGACGTAGGAATAAATTCGATTAACTTTCCAAAATTATAAATAAAAAATAAATAAATAATACTAAATTTCATCCAAAAATAAAGTAAATCCTCCAACATCGATCCGATTCCACGCGTTCCGCATCCATTCCTTCTGGTGCAGTCATATATTCTCCAAGACATACATCCATTTCACATTCCATCCATGTTATATATCGTACCCACTTATATATTTGTGTTATATTGATCCGTGGTATGGTTCTCAGACCAGCTTCCAAATCATTAAGTCGAGACGCATTAAACAGCGACAGCTTCCACGTCCCTATTCTTGTCCCGTCAGTGTAAGTTCAGGCTCCTACTCGAGCCTACTATGCCGATTGGTGAAGGTGAGGAACCTAAAGTTCAGTTAACCGTCCCATCAGTCAGAACACCCAGCCGGGCCAGAGCCAAAAGCGAGTCGTCACTGCCCACCAAAAAGGCAGGACCTAGTAAAAGCTTAACTCCATCCATAAGGATCAGCCTTACTTCCAGGACAACAAGCGAAAAGTCCTTAACCCCTTTAAAACCCGTGAGAACAACTGCGTCCCAGTCAGTTTTGTCCCTGCAAGTGACGAGATCAATTGCGAAAATTGCTGACGCTGAAGCTAAAGCTGACTTAACAAAGTTTGTGGCTGTGACCGATAGGGTCAGTCAGTTCGAAGCCAGGCTCAATACCCCAACAGACCCACCTCCGTCTATTCACACTAATAAGGTCAGACTTCAGCAGACAAGGTAGGAGAAAGAGTACGAGACGTGCTCTGAGGTTCTTTCCTTAGTAAATAGTACTACCACGATGGAAGTCAGGCAAGCCAAGTATGACTACTGTTACTGAAGGATGCGCTGCAATACTAAACGAAACGATTGAAAGAGCTAGCGTTCAACCGATTCATGAACCGCCCACATCGGTGCCTCTGCCTAGTGGATGCCGCGTTCCTCCAATAGACTGTGAAATTTTCTGTGGCGACTATGTTCATTGGCCGACGTTTTGAGACCTTTTTTCCGCCTTCTATGTCAAAAATCCAAGGCTTTCAGGCGTTGAAAAGTTGTTCCACCTTAACTCGAAAACGAGTGGAGAAGCAAAGTCTATTGTGGCATAATCACCATTGACTAACGAAGGGTTTGCGCCCGCTTGGGGAAATCTGCAGACTCGCTTCGAAAACAAGCGACTGCTCGTCAACAGCCAGCTAAAGATCCTGTTTAATCTCCCCACTGTTTCCCAAGAGTGTGGCAATTCCCTTAAGCACCTGGAGAGCACTGTCCAAGGTTGTTTGACAGCCCTGAAAATAGCAAAAGTAGACATAACAAATTGGGACTGTCTTCTCGTCTTCCTGTGCTCCTCAAAGCTGCCGAAGCTGACGTTGGCTCTGTGGGAACAGTCCATCCGAGATTCCAGGGTGGGAAGAATATAAAACCTTCTTACAAGGTCATCATCGAACTCTGGAGGCAATTGAAGAATTTAAACCTACTTTGACCACTCAATCCAGAGCCCCACGTCCTAAAGGTGGGCCGCGGATTATCCATAACTTTGAAAATAGGGTCACCGTAAATCCACAGTCGTGTAAACTTTGTCCAAGGGAGAACCATCCGATGCGTCTGTGTCCCCAGTTTCTAAATATGTCGGTTGCCGACAGGGAACAGTGTATTAAACAACAGAAACTCTGTCTGAACTGTTTTGCAAGAACCCACATGTTGAGAGACTGCACCAGAACGCACAATTACTCTCCTCCATCGTGGCGGCCCTCCACAACTCCAGTCAGCATCCGCACCTGACCTCCAGCCAGAAATACAGTCCACTCCGTCGAACGTCCAAACGTACCTCGCCGTGAACACGCAAGGGGTCCTCCTGAGTACGGCGCTCATAGAGATCTGCCACTTGACTTAATTGACTCTGGATCCGAGGCGACCTTTATTTCAGAACGGTTATTCAACCTAATTAAGTTCCCCTATGAATCCATACAAGCTCAAGTTTCGGGAGTAAATTAAACTGTTGCAACCACGAAAGCGCTGCAAATTCCGTATAGGCTCCCCCTTTAAGCCACAAATCCAAATCGAAGCGTCTGCATATGTGCTACCACATTTAGCCGGAAATCTTCCATCCTATACGATACCCGGAGGGACCTCCCTCCCATCCAATTAGCAGACCCGAATTGCTACCACAGCTCGCAAATTGACGTGCTCATAGGCGCCGATATCCTTCCGTCGATCATTTTAGGCGGCTTCCATTCAAATGTTTGCGGAACACTCCTTGGCTAAGAGACCATATTCGAATGGATTCTTTGCGGCCCAATCGCGAAAAATCCCACTAACAGAATATCTTCCTTCTCAGCACGGTTGTCTGTCACCGAATCTCAACTAGACGGCATCCTCACCAAGTTTTGGGAAGTGGAGGATGTTCCAGTGAAGCCGGGTAAGGAATCCAGCTCGGTGTGTGAAAATATTTTTCCAGCAAACCACCACAAGGGGTAAAGAAGGAAGGTATGTTGTTTCTTTGCCCTTTAAAGAACATAACAATATAAGCCTGGGGCATTCACGGTCCATCGCACTGGCGCAATTCCTTAGGAATGAAGTACGGCTGAGTAAAAACGCTCCTTTGAGAGAGCAGTATGACTCAGTTATTCAGGAATTTTTACTTGCCGCACCACGCGGTTTTCAAGCCAGAAAGTACCACCACAAAAGGTTCGCGTGGTGTTTAACGCCTCCAATAAATCGTCAAACGGGTACAGCCTTAATGATATCCTTCATACAGGTCCGGTACTGCAACCTGATTTGACCACCCAGATCCTCAAATGGCGTTTCTTTAAATACGTATTCAATGCTGACATCACTAAGATGTATCGGCAGATTCTCGTCCATTCCGATCATACACGTTTCCAAAGAATCCTGTTTCGCGATAAAGAGGGAAAACTCTGTGATTATGAGCTCAACACTGTCACTTTCGGGGTTAACTGTGCCCCTTTTTTGGCCATAAGCGTGCTTCAACAACTGGCTCACGATGTACGTGACCAATATCCTTTGGCAGTTTAGCCGGCACCCACACCTAGCAGTCCGCTGTTTCAGCCATCAAAAAGCTCGGCGGTGCTATAGAGAGTGCGGGCTTTCCATTGCGCAAGTGGACATCAAACGAGTAGAAACTTTTACAGAACATTCCAAAGGAACACTTGATTAGGGTGGACTTTTTGGAGTTGGAAGACGCCAGTATGGCAAAAACTCTGGGAATCCGTTGGCACGCGACTTCGGATAGTTTCCTCTTTCTGCCGATGGATATTTCTCTCCAAACAACCTGCACCAAACGAGAGGTTTTATCCCAGATAGCCAAACTGTTTGACCCAGCAGGATGGTTATCGCCATTTATTGTTCGGGCAAAAATTTCCATGGAAGAAATTTGGCTGCGGGAGTTAAGCTGGGACCAGCCTCTTCCGACTGATCTTGTCACAAAGTGGCGTAATTTTCCTGAGGGGTATCCAACTTTGAAAGAAGTTCGCATCCCAAGAAGGGTAAGATTTCATCCAGCAGCAAAACTGCAGTACCACGCGTTTTTCGATGCATCGCAGAGCGCCTATGGTGATGCTATCTTTGTTCGCGTCGAAACGACTGATGGCTGCTTCACCCACTTGCTTTTGTCCAAAACCCGAGTTGCTCCAGTAAAGTGCCTTTCCATACCGCGATTAGAGCTTCTCTCCGAACTCGCCGCAGCAGTTCTCTCCGAAATGCCTCCTACTCAGTATGATAAATATTATTGGACAGACTCCACGATAGTGCTTGCATGGCTAAGCAAGCCAGCATGCACTTGGACTACATACGTTGCCAACAGAGTCGCGAAAGTTGATCAGCTCACAAAGAGCAGTGGTTCCATGTGAAATCGGAAGATAACCCAGCTGATCTGGCAAGCAGGGGCGTCTCAGTCCATGAGCTCAAGGACAGCAACCTCTGGTGGCATGGGCCTGAGTTGCTGCGTCACAACCAGGAGCAGTGGCCACTCGATTCGTCGGTCCCGATCGAAACCGAACTCGAACATCGCCCAATAAGGTGTAACGTCGCCACAGCGCCCCGAAAAATGACATTCGGGAGCGTTTTTCAGCTTTTTCGGCTTTACGCGTTCTGAATGTGTGGCAAGCAATACGTTAACAGAAAGGCAGAACTCACTGCCGCAGAGTTGTCTGACGTCCAAGAGAGGGTGATTGTGCTCACCCAACTCAATGAGTATCCAATAGAATGCAAGGCCTTAGGCAAAAAGGAACATATTCCAGTCTCCAGCACGATCTCCAATATAAACACCTTTGTCGACAGCCAGGTGTCTTAGAGCCAGCGGTCGTCTACGAGCATCTGAGATGCTAAGCTATGATGAGAAACATCCAATCATCATTCCGGCAAGGTGCACTTTTGCGAAACTTTTGGCTCTCTTTACCCATCCCATATCCTTGCACGGGGGTCCGACTGATTCGCTCCAAGTATTGGACACCTAAGCTGAGAAGTCTTGTAAAAGATCACAGACAGAAGCTGCAAACTCAGCTGATGGGAGACTTGCCCTGCGCAAGATCTACATTTTCCAGGGCTTTTACCCACACGGGCGTTGACTTTGCGGGACCATTTGATATAAAAAACTATGTCGGTCGGGGGTGTAAGATAACTAGTACCCGAGCCATCCATCTAGAAGCTACATCAGACTTGACTACTGAGAAGTTTCTGGCAGCCTTCTCGCGTTTCTCCGCACGACGTGGCTGTCCGCACCACATAAATTCTGACAACGGAAAAACGTTTGTTGGAGCCTCCACGTCCTTATCCAAGGACTTCATTGAAGCTACGAGGTCTTTGATCCTGTCCAATTACAGTCTTCAAAATGTGACCTGGCACTTCAACCCTCCGCCTCAAATGGGAGGGCTATGGGAGGCCGGTGTCAAAAGCTTTAAGAAACACTTCTACAAGCAAACAGCTGGCGGAAATTGAGGCCTGTTTAAACTCGAGGCCTAGTTCTCCAATGTCCGAAGACCCCACTGACCTCGTAGATCTTAGCCCCGGACACTTCCTAGTCGGTGGGCCACTCCTTTTGGTGACTGAGCCTGAGATTAAAAAAAACCCGATTTCCATTTTAAACCGATGGCAGCGGCTAAAGGCCCTGCATCAGCAATTTTGCTTACATGGTGGTGCTAAAAGAGGAGAATTTACCACCAAATGAATGGCGGCTTGGGCGGATCCAACTGGTGTGCCCAGGCGCGGATGGCAAGACCCGAGTGGCACATGTTCTTACCGCACGTGGCATTATCCGACGACCAATTGCAAAGATGATCCTCCATCCGATGGAGGCCTCCAGCTCCGAGTGATTCTGCCTTTTCCCTTTTTTTCTTGAGTTAGCGACTAACAGCCAATCCTACTAGTCCTAAACTCATGTCATCCTGTGTCGTCAGTCCTCATACATGTCCCGATCATTCGCATCATCCATAACCCCTAACCTTTGTTTACTCGCTTCCACAGATTGTTCACGATGGCGCCAACTACAATCCAGCACGCTCGGCCACGCGCAACCAACGGGTACAGGTGCCGAGTTTGCCGAGGGGTGCACGCGCTGAGGAAATGCCAACTGTTCCTCCGGCTCCCGGCGGTGAAGCGGCTCCGCGCGGTCCTTATCAATCACTACTGTGCGAACTGCCTTGCTCACGAGTATTCGGGTCAATCCTGCCGCAGTAATGCCAAGTGCCACGTCTGCAGTGGAAATCACCACACCCTCCTGCACTTCCAAGAATCCACATCGCCACGCCCGTCACGACCCCAAGACCGACGGCAGCAGACGAGATCGTCGTCGACGACGTCGTTGCGCTCATCGTCACCGAATGAGATCTCCCCGACCCGAAGCCCTGCTACGGGCCCATCGTGCGCCGCTATCCTGCAGCGCACGAGTGTGATAATCTTGCCAACTGCATCCATTTTGGTGGGGTCTGAGGAGAAACGGTTTGACGTCCGAGCTTTGGTGGATCCTTGCTGCCCCGTGAGTCGCATTCACGTATCCTTGACAAAGGCCCTTAACCTTTCCGTCACCCGCGTAGGCGATGAGCGGGTGTGCACCACCGAAATCCGCTCAAAGTCGTCGAAAATGATGAAATGAGCTGCTAATGCTGGTTGATGGCCAGATGCGGACCCGAACTTCGGCCAAGCCCCTGGATCCGAAGGTCCGGGATGCCTTCCCAGACATCACTTTGGCTGATGATAGATGGTTCCACCCTTCCTTAGTGTCGGCTGTTTTGGGAGCTGACGTATACGCGGAATTAATTCTGCCGGGTATCCGCCCGAGTCAAAACGGACTGACAATGGCGCAAAGCTCAGCCTTGTGGTAGCTCCTTTCCAGGCACTTGTTCCCATTCTTAATATGCCACTCTCCCCATTGCGAGGGGGAGAATAAAGAATAAAAAAAAAAACTCGCCATTGTTTCTGGTGGCAAAGTGGAAGGCTAGTAATATAGCCGAACTTTGTAGAGGGGTAATTCCCACACAATTTTTGCGAGTATTAATGGCCTTAATTAAAGGATTAATATGTACATATGAGTATTTTAAGCTTAGAAATTGAATTATAATAACACTAAGATTCTAACTGCTTTCTTAATCTTAAGGAGTGTTCTTTAAATGTGAGCCTGGAGTCGAAGGTAATTCTTAGGATTTTTAACAGAGCTCGCAAATAACTGTCAACCGTTACTCGTTGTCTTCAAATAAGTGTCTTCTCCTGACTCTTTACGAAAAGACTCAGAGAGCAACCGATTTATGGGTTCTTGAATGAGCTCGCTCGCGCTCAGAGCGAAACCGTTTATTTCTATACTGTTTTGTTCTGGTTGTTCAAAGACCGTTTTGTCGTGTTGAGTGAAGCAAAAGGTCTTTTGCGTATGTATTGGTTTCACACGCATAGGCAAGCAAATCGTTATTTTTCTGCAGACGAAATATATCAATTGTGAACGGGAATCGAGTGTGTCAAGTTGTGAAATAATTGTCGTGTAAAATGGGAAGAGAAATTAATAAAAATGTGCATCAATTCTTCAAATTTAATTTGGAAGAGAAGAAGTCAATTTGTAGTGTTTGCGGTATTAAATTGTCCGGCAATCATTCAACAAACTTAAAACGGCATTTGACAACGAAACATATGGACATTTTCAATGAGTGGAACAATTCTGGAAATTCAAAACTAACCGAAGAAAAACGAAGAATATCGTATCAAACGAGCGAAGAAGCAATTGTTTCTTCTTTAATTAAAATAGTAACTACGGACGGAAAACCATTTATATTTCTAGACAGTGAAGGGTTCAAAGAAATTATGGATCCAATATATAATGCACTTGGCATGAACCCTGTAACGTCTAGAAATATTATGAACTTTGTGTCAGTCAAAGAGCAGCTTATCAAACAAAACATAAGGGCTCTTGTTAAGGGAAAGCTGGTGTCGCTGAAAATCGATGTTGCCACCAGAATGGATAAAGCCATTCTAGGAGTAAATTTGCAAATGGTCCACGCAAGCCTGGCTAAAACCGAGGTTATTGTAAAGACATTAGGCATGATTGAGCTCGGGGAATCTCACACGGGAATATACATGAAGAACAAAATTCTTGAAATCTTAGATGATTATGGAATATCACTAGATCAAATCTACAGGTAAATATTGAACTACATACAATTTTTAAAATGTGATTTTTTTTAAAATAATTTTCATATTTATGCACACAGCATTACGTCGGACAATGGGCGAAATATGATAAAAGCCGTCCAAGTTTTAAATGATGCCACAGAGGAGTCCCTTTTTGAAGATGACACAGAAAGTGAGAATCTTCTGAATGAACTGGATGGCATTGAACTTGCTAATATACACCTTGTGAGATGTGCAGCACACACTCTGCAACTGTGCGTATTCGATGTGAACAAGATGAAGGAGATCGCCGACAAAATAAGTTCCTGTCGCACATTATGCAAATCGCTTCGCACAGAAACATATAGGTAAGTAATGATAAGTTATATATATATATAAATATAAGAATATAAAAATAAAGATAAATATAAATATATAAATATATATATATATATATATATATATATATATATATATATATATATATATATATATATACAAGACAAAATTTAGTTTATATATATATATATATACATATACAAAAATTATATAATTTATAAAATCTATGCAGACGTATCTTAATTGAGAACCACAGAAACATACCATCGCTCGACGTTGCTACAAGGTGGAATTCAACCTATTTAATGCTTAAAAAATTATTGGACCTAAAGGATTTCCTGGCTACGCAGTCTTATATTTGTGTAGTTGCCGATTGGAATTGGATCGAGACGTACATTGACGCTTTCAGTGATACATACGAGGCAACCCTTAAGCTACAAGACAAAAATTTAGTTTATAGTGAGTTTTTCATAGTATGGATGGAACTAAAATTGAAATGCGAGAACAGCCACAATTTGATTAAAAACAAACTAGCTTCACAGATAAAAATAAGAGAAGGGAAATTGTTAGAAAATGAAGCATTGTTGGCAGCGATTTACATTGACCCTCGGGTAAATTGTATGTTGACGAATTATCAGAAATCGTTAGCAAAGGCTAATTTAAAAAAAATAGCTTTTCGTTTATTTGAGTTAAAACAAGTAAGCTGTATGTCGTAGAATGCTTGAAATTTGGGTCCTGTTTTGTTTACGTTGTAATTTTGAGAAACTATGTTAATAATTCAAATTGTCTTCGTCAAAAACTAATACTTGTCCTAAACTATAATCCAAAAAACATTTTATACTTATTATCGCTTTATTATTTAAGGCACAAACACGAAAGGTTCCAGAGCTCGAAACTCCTGTGTGTGAAGAGATGTTTGATTCCTCATTCACGTCAATCCTTTCAACCGCATCCTCATCTGAAGAGAAGTCGCTGTTCTCGGCATTTTTGGACGATTTTCAGACAGTGTCAGAAAGCAAAAAAGATCCTGTTTCTGAAAAACTTGTACAAATCTATGCTGACATCGAAAACTTCGACGTCACATTTGGTCGCTTGCCATTAAATTCAAATATATTGGAATTTTTTAATGACTTGCAGCTTAAGTTTCCTAATATAAGTGCACTAGCGCAGGTTGTGCTGGCTACACCTGCAACGCAAGTTTCCGTCGAACGAGCATTCTCAGCCCTACACTTTATATTAAGTGAACGAAGAAGTTCGATTAGTGCAGAGAATCTTAACGCCTTACTAGTTATAAAGCTTAACACATAATATATAATAATAATAATAATAAAAATTAAAAATTAAATTAAAAACATTTTCTGAAACTTTTTTTTTGCTTTTGAAATATGTATAAGAAATATGAAATCAAAATGTAACTTTATAACAAAAATATTTGAAAATAAATTTAAATTAAACAAATCATATTATTTCTTTTTCACAACAACGAGAGTAAATGTGAAGACCGTTTGCGTTGAGTTTTTCGGTCAATCGGTCTTTTGCTGACTCTCATTTTGCGACCGTTTCTCGTTCCGCTCTTTACGCACTGCTCATTGAAAGAGCGATATACAAAAATCTCAACGAAAAGCGCTCAACAGAAAACATAAATGAAGACAGCAAGAGTCTCTTGCTCAGAGCGAGAGCGAGACAGTATGAACTTTTTCGGTTGTGCTCGCAACGAGAGCGCAGGAAGAAAAACGGTCAACAGTTATTTGCGAGCTATGATTTTTAAATTATCTGTTTGTTAAATATAATTTCGGGAAAGTTGCAATTTTGTTTTCGATATATATGTAGGACCCGACATTTTTCAGGGAAGGAGATACAATGAAAGTTCTGTTGATCATGAGGGCTTCGAAAAGGTTATAAAGCCTTGGACCAACGCCACAGAGTTGAAGTTGGTATAACACAGAATGTAACCACACGAGGAGAAGCATTGAAATCTACAGAGCATCCATGGTAATGTGAATCTTTTTAAATGCAACCTGTTAGTGAGAGCTACGACTTTTTTGGGTGATAAGCCACATAGGTCTGCATGCGATACTTTTATCGACTGCTTTCCCGAAACAAGAGAGAAGATAATAGGAATTATTGTGGCTGACTTCCAACTATGTGGATAGGATCCTTATTGAAGCATTATGTTAAGGACCTTTTCAAATTTATTATTTACAACTGATGATAGGTTTTAAATCAATCAATTCTGTCAAAATCATGACTTCTCCTTTTCCCTTTTGGATTGCTATTCATAATTCCAGTTTTGTAAAAATTTATTGAAATTGCGATGTGGAATTGGGTTGATAGTGTTGTTTAAATAGGTTTTCTTCAATCGAATGCACACTGTACTTCATACATTTTTGCTTATGTATAAACAAATATAAAATATAAATTCTAAGTACCAGTCGCTAAACCAAGTGGCCGATATGATATTAATATGAACTTAAGTATATGTGCATATTCCCTTGCGTCCAGCCTAAGCGAGCATAGCTATATACAAAAGAATATAGCACTGTCTCTCCGCTGCCGCTGTTGGCAGCGCAGTTACGAGACTTGACCCTTTTTAGCTCCTACGACATATTTGTAAAACCAGACTCTTGAGAGACTCATTCGCTGCTCTAATGAAAATATATATATGAAATAAATAGCCAAAGAATTATATTCCGATAGGCAGACGGATTTACATAGCGAACGTGATAAAGGTCTAAACCAAAGCAGTCAAAAGGAACTTGGGATTTCATGGCAACAACTTCGGACTTACATAGAAGCATCAACTGGAGCTAAATGGATGGATGAAAAAAAACCAAAAAAAAGGAGGAAAAACCTGAGTGAGTAGATTGTGATGGGACGCCGAGGTGAAACATAAAATTAAACAAGAAGGAAAACCTAACTTCGGGCGGAGCCGAAGTTGATATACCCTTGCAGAATATTCTGTAAATTATATTCTGCAAGACTATTCATATGATGCATTCTTAATACTCATAAAAAATCCCAACTTCCTAACTTTAAAAACACCAAACTTATGGCATTTTCAGTCGTTCAGTGATATTAATTAATTTGGTAAGTCGGATTGATTAGCCAATAAATAAAAACCATAGAAAATCCCAACTTCCTAACTTTACAAACACCAAAGCTATGGCATTTCCGATCAATCAGTTATATGACGGCTATAGGATATAGTCGGGCGATCCCGGCCGTTCCGACTTATACACTGCGTGCAACGGGAAAAAGGGTGAGTGCAAAGTTTCAATTCGATATCTTTAAAACTGAGAGACTAGTTCGCGTAGAAACAGACTGACGGACATGTTTATATCAACTCAGGACGCGATCCTGATCAAGAATATATAAACTTTTTTTTATGAGTTTTATTTTTGGCCAATCAATCCGACCTACCAAATTTCATAAGGATCGGCCGACTATATCCCATAGCTGCCATATAAATGAACGATTTTATGAGTATTAGGAATGCATCATATGAATAATTTTGGAGAATATAATTTACCAGCGTTTGAAAAGCTACGCTACTCTCGTAGTATTTCGTTTGGCTATTGCTATCGCTCTGTTTTTGACGAGCGTAGCAGAGCCATAGCAGAATAACGAGAAAGTTTGTGCTCTGCTCTGCTCGCAGTTTTGTCGCTTGAGAAACTGTAGCAATAGCGGTAGCAGAAATCAAGTCCTTGCTCTGTGTAGCAGTAACGGTAGCAAAAAATTGGTAGCGAGATGAGAGCAGAGCACTTGCTATTTTTCATGTGCTACGGCTCTCGCTTGTGTTCCTTTTTTTATTTTCTGCACCTTTCTTATGCAGCGTGTTCTTTTTACTTGTCGCTTTGCCAGAATGAGAAAGAAAATATTTTCTGTCAGAATAAAGTGGTTTGAAATAATAAAATAAATAATAGTATTTTATTCAAAAACTAAAAATCAAAGTAAAATGTATATTCATTCACAGTATTCAGATTAAATCAAACTTAAAAATTAAAAGCCCCAGAATTGAAATTAATGTATTAAGTAAATGTTAATTAAATATAAAAAAGTAAAAAGAAATAAGAACTTATGCATTTAGAAACACGAATTACCCCTCATCTTCTTCGTCTTCAAATAAACTTAAATTGTCGATGGCACTATCCAAGTGAGTTGAGTTAAGCCGACAAGAAGAATATTTTCCAATGTTTCGTGACTTAATCGATTTCGGTTATCCGACAACACCAGTTTTAAAGACGAAAACGCCCGCTCTATTGTTACCTCCAAATATAAAGAAATTTAAACACTTGTTAATAAATATTTTGTTTTAAATTAAATTATAATTCTTACTTGAGTTGGTGGTATAGCAAAGCATACTTTGCTTAGGGCATACAGCTCTGGATCGCTTAATTTCCTTACTTTCCAGAAATTTAAAACATTTTCACCAGATTTCATATACGGCAATTTCAACGATTCAATCTTTCCATGGACATCTGTTGACTCATTCGGAACAATGTTAGCACTTAAAAAGTCGTCCAAAAGATCGAAATTACTTCCTTCATGTACAGTATCCGAAGCCATTGAATTATTTGATGACACTAAATTTGGAATGGGGCTGTGGATTTTAATTTGTGCCCACAATTTCTTAAGAAAATGAATTGATCTGTCCTTTTGTGAGCCGTCCAGGGTATGATGAAATCTTGGGTCTAGGTATAAGCAAGCGTCGAAGCCAACATTTGATACCAATTTTTTTGTTCTTACTTCCATGCTTTCAAGAAGCGTCTCTCCAATCGTATAAAGAATAAATTCTTTACTTAAAGCGCTGGTTGCTAAAATCTGTTTCGTTGACAACTTGCAAACCAGCCACAGAGCATAAAAATTCCCATAGTGCAATTGTTCTTGTTGAAACTGCACTATAGTTTTTTGCAGTGGAGCCATAATTGTAACGTAGGAGTCCATGAACTCCCATAACTGTTCATTTACAACGAAATAGTCGTCTTTGGATTTATTTTCAACAGTTTCGATAGGGCCTAATATAGCTTTCGCTTTATTGAGTAGGTCAATCATTTT